CAGCCTCTTGGGAGTTGTAACCCTCATTTTGGGAGAAAAAAAAAGAAAAAGAGTATATTGGTTCAAATTCAAAGAGCACTGTTTGATTCAGCATAAATCAAACAGAAATGAGAGACTATGGCTGCATGGGGTGGGGGGGGGGTGGTCCATATTCAAATGTAAACGACAATCCAAGCTGAAAGGAAGCCACAACACACTGCTAGGCTAAAAGAGGGTTAGCTAGTAGGGTCACACGTCCAGGGATGCAGATTAACAGACAAGAAGGTGACTCAAGGAAACAACGAGGGGTGGACCCAGCTGAGTTGCTCATCTGAAGCCTTGAGCAGAACAGGGTCCAGTACAGCACAACTAGAAGGAGGAGCCATGCGCAACTAATCAGAAGCCACAATCCCTAAGGCATAGGCATTCTGCTGGCATTTGGAGGAGCTGATATGAAGGACCACAGAAGAAAATGAATTCCAAAACATGAGTGCTGTGCATTGCCAAGGGAGGAGGCCACCCGAGAGGCCTGGGAGTGGAGAGTCTGCAACAGAAGTCCCATGTCTGGAACCCCTGCCACTATCAGACAAAAAGGGAATGAACAATGGCTTACTTTGAAAATGACAAGATGACAGCAGTGACATTAAGAGCAAAGAAGCAGCAAAGTGCAAGCCCCGATTTAGAAAATGGGAAATGTTTCTGCACAATTACACTCCTACGGAAGGCACCACAGCGCAAGCTGTGTCCCCAGCTGAGACCAAGAACCTCCCAGATAAAAGGGGCACTTCCCCAGACATGCCTTCCTCCCCTGAGGGGTTCTGTCAGATGCTAGGACAAGTTTCAGCCATAGGGGAGATAGCACCTCCAGGCCACTGTCACCAGCTGGGGCACTAGTAGGGTCTGCTTCTCAGGTCCTCACCTGTCTCCCCAACCACCAGACTCACTGGGAACATGGTCTATAGCAGAAGCCTCCAAACCCTCAGCATTCAACCTTAGGGGACTCTCTCAGTCTGCTCCTGTCAGGTAGGAGACACCCTCCCTCAAGTACCAGAGGGCTGTTGTGACCTGGTGCTTCCCTCACCATCAAAAGGATGTCCAAAAAGGCAATCCTGGTATGGTTGGGGAGTAGGTTAAGTTATTGTTTGCTATGGGTGGCCTCTACTGAGCTACCAGTCCCAGTCCTGGCTACTGCACTTCAAGATACAGTTCCCAGTTGACAAGCCTGGGAAGGCAGCAAATGATGGTCCAAGTGCTTGGGTCACTGGCTTTGTCCTGGCATAGCCCGAGTTACTGCCATCATTTAGGAAGTGAAGCAATAGATGAACAATCTGTCTCCCTCCATTCCTGTCGATCTGCATTGAAAATAAGTCAATTTTTAAAGTAAGTGAGTCCCCTCACCACATGTTGGAGTGAGTCCTAGCAGGGTGCTGCCGAAGACTTCTGTGAAGCGGGCAGGGACAGGAAGGCAGGGGCTGGCTTGCTCCAGTTCAGGCCAAGATCCCAGAGCACAGGTTAGATGCAAAATCCAGGTAGCTGGAGACATTATAGATGACCAAACCACACAGCTAAGCACAAAAACTCATTTTAGCCAGTTTTCATTCCTTCCTAATGCAACTCTTCATCAACCCTGAGAAAGGTGAAATAGCTGGAAAATATTTAGCTTGCCTGCTTCCCTCTGGGGAATCAGCCGAGCTGTAATGAGAAACTTGGAGCTCAGAGTCAAGAGAAAGCCTAGATGATGTATATTACAGCTCACACATAGCAACAGAAGAGCCAAGGCTGCCGCTACCAAGTCATGTCAGATTCAATGCAAAGAGGAAAAAATTCCAATTCAACCATTCCCCATTCACATTCATTTTGCATGTTTGACTCTGTAAAAGAACACCAGGCCCCACTGCCAGCATGATCTGGGAGAGAGGCAGCCCCAATCCCTGGACACAAATGCAGCTACCATCCCATTTCCAGAGATCCCACTACTGGGATCAGCCCAAGCCCTGAGCCCTCCAGAAAAGAGGGGAGTATGTGACCGTATCAAACAAAGCAAGGGGACCCAGCAAGCCTACAGCAGTCGTCCTAAAACAATAACAACAACACACAAGCACGAAAAACGTTTCCACTGCAGAAGTCCTGGCTGGCAGAAGTTCGCAGAGAGAATTTCCAACTTGTTGGGATATGTGTGTTCAGGGAGCCTGGGTCTGACCTGCCAGGAGCAGGAGACCTTTAGGTGAATCCTGTCTCTCCTGTATGCCAGCCCTGCATTCTTGGGAGACAGAGTTCACTTCCTTGAGTCTGCACTCACTTATAAACCAGAAATAGTAACCTCTAACATTAACACCTTATTATAACATAATGTTGTTAGAAGCAGTGGCTGGCAAATAACAGGCATTTAGGAAACGGTGCTAATAGACTTGCTTAATGGAGTTATCACACTAGGCTGCCTACTACTTATTACACCTGGTTATTACATTTTTAAAAAGCTAGATAGAAACATTAAGGAACTCTGAGAATGTAGAAGAGAAAAGAGGCAGTAATAACTAAGATTTTTCCCTGGAGACTATATCCAGGAAATTGTACCCTCCGTTGAAAAGTAGTTTTGGGGGAAAATTACTTATCCTTATTATATACCATCAGATCTGTTCTTTATTTCCAAGAAGTTGCAAAGAAATTTCTTCCTATTTAAAAAAAAACTTTGGAGAGTCCTTGTCATGGTGCCTGTTTTCTAACTGGTTTCCTTTCAGCAAACCCTGTGTGAATATCTTGGCTGAGAAGGAGCTGAATCCCAAGCACAGCACCTCTGGTCTCTGATTAGGAGGCCCAAGACTCAGAGAAATGCCACAAGTCCAGCCTAGCACTCAGGTGCACTGATAGACAAGAAACAGCTCTAGAAGAGCAAAGGTTGTAAATCCTGTTCTGGAAAAGCACCTCAAGTTCTAATTAGGCTAAAGCAATTAACTCCCCACAGCTCCTTAACACTGCTTCCCATGGCCCAGCAATCGTCTCCATTAAAACCCATTCTAAAGAGAAGAGCAAACGAAAAGCTGCATTGGCACACATCTCCCCAGTCCATTACCCTCCTTGACATATTTTGCAAGTACTCTCAGGCAAACTCTGCTTGCAGGGAGCGCTTGCAGACAACAGCCTCCTCAGCTTTGAGGAGGCAGTTGCAAAAAGGGAGGTGGCAAACCAGGAGTGTGACAATTTGGGGCAAGGAAACCCACACACAGAGCAAGATGTTGCCTCTGTCAGACCAGCTGCTGCTCCTGTTATTTGTGACAATGGTGAATTCAAATCCCCACCCTGAAGGAACATACCAAGCAGACAGAGTTCTTGCCTGCAGGTGCCACAGTCCAGGAGTCTTCGTGCAGGACAGTCCCAAGAGATGCTGTCAGAGCACTGTCCCCTGCCACAATTGGCCAGTGACATGCCAACAGAGTTCCTTGGCACTTCAACGACAAGTCCAGTCTGTTTGAGCTCACCTCTTCAGGCCTTTTAGGTCTACTCATCCCCTCTGACTCCTTTCAACAAAGGAAAGTCCCATTGTGTACAGTCAAAAGCTACACTGAATTTTGCAACAGTAACAGCAACCCATGGGGTAGTGGGTAAATGAGTCAGGTTTAAGGGTCTCCCTCAAGAATTAAGGTTATTTTAAAAATCTACCTAAGTTATCCAATAACTACTCCTCAACTGAGCAAGACTCTTTTCTTCTATTTTTAATTTGGAAATTTTTCTCAACCAGTAGACATCAAAAATAATGATCACTGTCCAACAGAGGATTTAGAAGGAAAAAGAAACAGACTAATTGCAAAAGAATATTTAACCCACTAGTCAGAAACACTACCATTTTGACATATAATTGATAATTAAAGTTTTAAATTTTTTTCATATATCTTTTCTCCCATGTACTGTACTGTATAGATCTATAGCTATATTTAAAAAGACATGTAGCAGGATCAAAGTCACAACTATTGTAAGATGTAAGAGATTTCAGTTGCTCTTACTAAAATAAAAAGGTAACCATGTGAAGAAAGATTTGTTAATTTGCTTCACTATAGAAATGATTTCACTATAGATAACCTATGAGAGTATGTCTGTTCGTGGAAATCCACATTTTTAAGAACTAAACATTAACTTCAAAAATTCTGCACCAAATCAATTGTGTTTTAATTTCACTTTCCATGATTTTTTTTGAAGTACCTTCATATCAAAACATCAGATGATGTATCTTCAACATTTTAGTAAGAAAAAAAATGCTGACATGAAAACAATCCTACAATACACTATCCTATGAGCAGTTTGATGAGCTATATGTGCAGTACAATTAAATTACAACTTTGTAAAAACCTGAATGTGCTCAAATTTGCATTAAAAACAGCCTGCACGAAATTTCTTTGGAGATCCCTCCACCTGAACTGCTGGTCTCAGAATCCCAACCATGAAGAGACTGTCAGCCAGTGGATTCTGGATAGATTTCATCACGCTTGGAACGGCAAGATTGGCAGCAATTCAGAACAGTTGAACTATCAAAACTGCCTGAACAGGACCCTTGGAGCATGCCCCACGTTGGGGACCTGAGATGGGAGGGAGGCTGGGTGGGGCTTCTCCCTTTGTTTCTCTCCTGACCCCAGATTTCACACTAATATCATTTTTTCCCCCTGAAACAATGCTCTTACCCACTTTCCTGAAGCCCTTGACCCTCTGTACCCTAATCAACTATGTAAGTTTATAAAAAAAAAGTCTGCGTGGGAAGGCACCAGAGATAGCAGTTATCTCGACAAGGCACAATTATGGATAGTCTTCTGTTTCAAGCGCTTTTGTAGTCTCAAAAGCTTTTTGTGCCAAGCACAAGCTGTTTCCACTTCCAGGAAGATTGCAAAGTTTGTCTTTAAAATCAAAATCTTTCCTGTAAGATTTGTCTTACACACTTGGTCCTATTGACCAGTAGTCAATGCCTCATTTGCACAATGTTGGGATGGCCCACCAATGTGCCCCTCACCACCCGCCCCCAGTGCCAGCGTACTTACAGCCAATCATCATGATGGCGACTGCAAAGATCTTCTCGATGTCTGTGGATGGGGCGATGTTCCCAAAGCCCACACTGGTGAGGCTGGTCATGGTGAAATACAGTGAGGAGATGTAGACTGAATTCTTGCTGGGACCACCTTCCCACTTCCCTGAGCCAGACCCATTGAACTGGTAAGGGGTGCCAATGTCCATCGCCAGTTGGTAGAGCCAGCTGTTGTTGCGGATCGTCTTGGTGTCTTCATCAAAGATCTCATAGTCCCCGATGCTGTACCAGATGCAGGCCATCCAGTGTGCAGCCAGCCCAAACACACACACCAGCAGGACCAGCACTGCAGCGCCATACTCAATGTAGTGATCCAGCTTACGGGCCACTCGCCCGAGACGGAGCAGCCGCACAACTTTCAGAGAACTGAACAGGCTGCTGATTCCCTGGGAGAAGAGGAACTCAGGGTCAGGGCCAAGAACCAAGGGTTTTACTCCTTCCCTTCTGCCTTCCTGGCCCACTATTTCAGGCATAGCGCATTTCTATAGGATGCAATATTATACAACACTTAAGAGTATAAAACTAGAATTTTATTCCATGATGGATGGAAAGGAGATTTCCATTAACTTTTTCCATCACCATTATAAAACAGATAAGTGAACAAAACTGAATTGTAATGATACTGTGCAAAAGTATAAAATGCAAGGATATGTCAAAAAGTTCACAGAAAATGAAAATAAAGCAAGATTTTGAAATGCATGCATAGCTTCTCCCGGTGCATGTTTTCCATGAACTTTCTGAAATCCATTCATGTATCATTTTTAGATCATTAACTATTTCTAAATAAATCTTGATGGCTTAATATTTCATATTGTATAATATGCAAAAAGACTTTAAGAGTTGCATATATGTATTTTGCATTGCATACTACTTGGGTAACAGTCCACTGTCATTGTTTTGTGCATGGTTCTACAAGGGTACCTTTAAAGATTCATGGTAAACTACAATTAAAAATTCATTGTAGTGCAAAAAATTTTGAAATCCATGCATGGTTTTTTTCATGTTACCCATTTTCCATGAGCTTTTTGGAAACCTTCTATATGCATGGATCCAAGTTTTCATAACAAAATAAAATTATCTTAATTCCATTACTACATGAACTGTTTAAAGCACCCTTGGCTATGTATGTTGAAATACCCAAGTAGCCCTCAGAAAGATCAATAGTGATTCTTCCTGCATTGTCATACTGTGGAGTGACAGGCAATTTTTGTCACATCAGAATACTTTTTTGGTACACTTACATGTATCTATAATTCAAATTATTTCACTCATTTAAAACGCATTGAAAAGCAGTTAAAATAGAAATAAAAAATCACTGAAAAAATAAAGAATGAAGATTCTGGTTTGGTTTTTTTTTATGAAAGTTAGAAATGATATAGCCTTTCGGGAATTTATATCAGGGCAGGGATTACACTCAGGTATAAAATAAAAATGGAATTAAAAGCAGCTTATTTTAGTTCCAAAAGAAGTTTTAAAAACTGTGCATTTTTCCATAATACGCATTTTCCAAAAACTTTTTGAAGAGCTCTCCTTCAGTTCAATTCTGTCTATGTAAGCATCATCAGGAGAAAAAGCTGAACACTAGAAGGAAGCTCTGAGCTCGCTAGGGCTCACCAACTTCACCAAGCCAGGCCAGTTCACCCAACAGCAGTTCTCTATGGAACGGCACTGTGATAGTGGAAAGAAAGCCAAAGTGAAAGCAAGAAAAGGGGGTCTTGGACCCATAGCAATCACTAACTTGCTATTAATTGGGACCAATCAATTACCTCTTAGTTCCTTATCCAGACAAGAAACGAGGTGCACTATACTCTCCGAATCATCTCCAAATACCACCACACTTCCCATCTCCAAAGGAAACTAAAAATCATTCATGAAGCCAAAAGATGCAAAATTCCATCATTCCTGTTCTTACTTCCAGGATGTATACAAGGGAAATTTTCATCTATTAGCTTTTAAATGAAGCAGGAAAAGCTAACAAAACAAAGATTTCTTTGAACTAAGACTTCATCTTCCTGACAGAGCAAAATTCCAAGAAAGGCTGATAGCTTTTCCCAAGTATGACTGAATGGCTCTTCACTCCTCTAGACACTAGAAGTTTCCAAGTCACTACTAACTCTTACTCACTGTCCCTTTAATGCCACCCCCCAAGGGACAAGTTATGCCAGACAGAAGGAAAATTCTAAAATGTAAAAATGCATTCTGATGAGTGAAACACCAGGGCTGTTTCCTCTCCCCATGCACACAGCTCAACTCAATTTCCCAGGTTCCTTCCACGTGGTGGGGGTCCTAAGATGAGTTCCAGCCAATGGAATGAGACAAAAATGTCAGTTTCTGGCCTCCACAGTCCACCCTCAACATGCTTACACCTTCTCTAAGCATGCCTTCCAGAAAAGGCTAGTGTGACCTTGTGACCATATGCTAAGGACCGCAATCTACCATATGGACAAGTCTGGGTCCCTGAGGGACTCTGGAACACACACCGCTAAGTCCCACACCACAAGTCAACTTGAATTGTGTTGTAGAATGAACGAGGAAGCAGCCACTGACAGTCTGTGGGACATCTGTTGCAGTAGTCAGCATGGGCCTTTCCTGGCAGAAACCTGCCACTTGAACACAAAAAGCACATGTGCAGCAGTGTCTTGTCTACACAGACCACAGACCAGGTTGTCACTCAAATTATTGTGATTGGCTGAAGAGGAGAGGGGTGAGATTCATGAGTGTAAGTCCAAGTTTCAGCTGTCCCACCTGACTTCAATCCAGCTTCCCTGCTAATGCACCTGGAAAAGTAACCGAAGATGACTAAAGTCCTTGGTCCCTGTCACCCATGCATGGATGAAGCTCCCGATTTCACTTTGGCCCAGCCACAGGCTACTGCAGACATTGGAGATCAACCCAGCCAATGGAAGATCAAGCTCTCAAACTGCTGTTCAAATAAATAATTTCTTTGAAACGGATTTTCTAGGCCAAGGGAACACATCCCCAGCTCATCCAAATGGTTAACTTTGACCTAGGTTATCTCTGGACTGTCTAGTATTTTTCCCTTGGGTATCTTTTCCCTCCACAGGCTTCTCTCAGTCACCTGCTGTGCACACAGGGCTAAGGCATGGCCTCAGATTAAGGTGCAGACTGATGGGGCGATGGGGGGAAGGAAATGGGCACTGTCTCAACACGGGGCATTTGCATTCTAACAAAAGGAGAAAACCTTAGGAAGCCAATTTCCAATGGTAGAATCAAAAGTAACCACAGCCTGCATAAAGGAGATATTTTGGGAGGCAAAGCAGTCTTTCTGATGACTCAGAAATCAAACGCCTTGCAGGCAGCCACCTACTCTCCACTCCTCATAGGCAAGTTTCTGCAATCATCTTTTAAAGCAGTTCTACTGTGAAGCAGGGCTTAACACCCAGGAGGGAACTACCTTGTCATTTTTCCTCACTCATATGCAATTCAAAATAGCATTCCTGGAGAATCTACTATGTCTTTTGTGTGCTGATACTAATAGGAGGAGATGAAAAAGGCACTAAGTTGGTCTTCCTATTCACTTGGGTATCCCCAGTGCCTGGCATGCAAAAAAGCACTCGCAAAGAGGAAAGGAGGGAGGAAGTGATAGTATAGTGAGGGAGATAGGATATAATTAGTGAACAGATATTGCGTACCCAACAGCCACAGAACAGTGAGCAGGTACTCAGACTAGCAGTTAAGATACCTACATTCCACAGCCGGGCACAAACAGCAATGGCCCACAGAACTAAGTTTCTGTACTCATGTGGCAGACTTGAATTGTGTCTTGGCTTTGGCCCAACTCTGATTGTTAGCCAGCATTTGAGCAGTGAAGCAGCTGATGTAAGCATTCTATCAAATAAAAATGTTTAATCACAGAACTGGACAGTAGAGAAGGAACATAGCTAGTTCAACACTTAATCCAACTTTTCTGAGTTCAGCCATGTCTGCAGAGTCTCCTGAATGGATGGCTAAGTAGCCTCTCTGATCATTCCCACTCCTTCCACACAGCCCCCAGAACATTTTCACTGTCATTCATCCATGGAGGTGAACTGTGAGGGGCTGGCTCATCATCCTTTTTACCTCTTTACTTCACTACCCCTGCCTTCTCCCACCAGACATGCAACCATCACCCAAAACTCATGCTACCCTCCATCAACACACTTCAGCTATCTCAAACATGTCACATGGAGGATACAACAGTGTACCACTATGCCTGTTAGGACGGGGTCATCAGTCTTTCCTATTTCTACACAGCTTTCCAATTTCTGCTGAGAGGCCTATTAACTATTCTTTAGGCTTATTACTCCCTCCGCCCTGCAGATTTCCATGACTACCCAGCAGTTAGAACCAATCACTGACTCCTCATGGGCACAGTATTCTGTAGCCACCACCACTTGAACACATCACCTTACATCAGCTTCTAGTGCCCATTTCCTCAACAACATCAGGAACTTCAACTTCCCAAAGAAGCCACCTGTTGCTCATGTCAGAAACTTTCTATGCCACATTAAATAGTCGGTTTCAAATCTATGTCCTTCCCAGAACCTCAGAAGGTAAGCTCCTTTGGGAACATAATTAAGATGAGGTCATTTTGGAGTAGAATAGGCATTTAATCCAGCACTACAAATATCCTTGTCAAAAAGAGAAAAGGTGAACACAGAGAAAGAACACTGTGGCACAGAAGCAGACAGAGAATGGAGGACTGTGGCTCTAAGCCAAGGACTGTCAGTAACAGAAGTAAAGACCAAGGCAGGAAGCAGATTTTCCCTACTCCCTAGTTACACTTCTTGTCAGACTTTTACCTTCCAAAACTGAGAGCGCATAAACCTTTACTGGACTGACACACCCAGTTAGTGGTCATTTGTTATAATAGCCCTTGGAAACAAAGTACACCCACGTAAGACCTAAAGCACAGCGACTTCTCCAAAGACTCCTGAAGATATTCTAAATTGAAGCATCTGAATGATCAAAGGATTCTTACTCGTGTTCGGGGGGGGGGCGCCCTGGGACTACACAAAACAAGCATTTCTTCATTGTGTTATTTATCTATGCCTGCAGTGATTCCCTATTACACGGTTATTGTGTAAGTTCTCTTTCATTGCACTAACAGCTGGAATTCTAGCTGTTTAAAACCATTTCAAGCTGTTAATTTGTTTTTGTCCCTTCCTTAAGTTCAGCTGATGGGATAAATAAGATACTCCAGAATATTATCTTTCTGGTACACTAAAAACATGACAGTACCATATGGTAGAAAAAAAAAATCACACTTCCACCATTGACTTCTTCCATCAGGAGACCCACCTTACATTTCAAGTAGTTTCAGAGAGTTCTTTATTGCAACCTTGAGATTATAGAGAATGAAGGATTCCAAGTTAAGGGAACATGG